ATGGAATACCCAAATATGTGTCCACTTCTGTGCCGTTGAATACTTGTGTGAATCCATTGATTACTCCGTTCTCTATCGAAACGCTAACACTCTTTGCGTTGATTTCTATTATATTTATAATACTTAATAGAAACACAAATTGAATGAATTTATTGAATAACATTTTGTATAAAATGTGAATTCAAATACAAAAACTTATAAAATTAATATTTATAATTGTATTGATAAACAAGTCCTTTATATACCAAATGATATAAAGATTAACTCAATTAAAAACACTTGAAATATAAAGTATATTCTATGATAGTATTTCAAAGATACAAGGTACAATAATTGTTGTTAGAATGTAACATTAAGGTCTAACAAAGTGTAAGTAAACTATAATTGCACTAAAATGATTTTGTGTATTTAAAATGCAGGTAAATATAATACCTTGCCTATTATAGAATCAATCTAAAGTATATAATATGCAAAGTGTTCAAGAATATTTTAAAATATTTTATTTATACTGGTAAAATATAATAAATTTTATGGTAATGAATGTTTACTATAATATTGGTAATTAAATGTGTAAAATATAACTAAAAATATAATTTAAGCATAATCTTTTGAGTTTACTAGTGTTAATTTAACAATAATCAAGAAACATTTAAATAAAAACATTAAATGTTTGCATAAAATATTAATTACAAAAACAGTTTACATTTTTTTGCAACAAACTCACAATTAATAATATATTTAAATATATTGTATACAATAATTTGTATTTATAGTCAATGACTTAATGTACTCACAATTCAATGCAAGTGTAAATTTACTATATTTAATGTTGCTAATAATTTGAAATTTTTACATTCAATTTGTAATACAGTATACGATATACTGCATTGTAATATTGTATTTTGTATTTCATTAGTGAACGTACCCTGGAAGTGCATTGTACAGATATCTAAAGATTATTAAGATCTTAAGATTATTATAAAGTAGTATAGTACTGTACAAATGGTAATATAATTATATAATTAACATTTCATTCAATGTTATTTATATTTTCAAGTATTTTGTGACTACATTATTAAATATATAATTTTCCATTGTAACCATTTCATGATATTCCTAGAAGATGTCAGTTTTATAAATTGATCATGATGTATAATTCGCTGAAATTCATTTAATTTTTAATGTGATTTTGGTTTGAATTTTATTTTATAATTAATGGTAACTAATTTACCGCAGAATATCCACTAATTATTTTGCAGTCTAATTAATAGTTTGCACAAATTAATTTTACAGTTTATAATGATATTTTATATTAGAGATTTTGCTACTTTAATTAAAACCAATTAATTGTGATATTTAAAAAAATTTATTAGATAATTTATTTTAATTATATTTAATTTACAAATCAATGGTTGTATTGATTCCACAGATAATCGCATTCATCGATCTTTAATCCAATGTTGAAATTAGTGACAGATTTCGGTTCATTTGTGTACTCATAATACGGCGCTATTATATTGGCTCCCATTGAATAGTATTGCCGCCATTGGGCGCCGTCTATTGTACCAGGGTTACTGCAATATTCATTAAATGTTAATATTATTGTATTCAAATAAAAAGCTCTCGAATACAAACCTAGTTTTTGCTAAATTGATGAAAGAGCCAATAAAATTGATCCCTCGTCCGCTGTGTTCCCAATAAACAAACTTATGTTTATCTTAAAATTTCTTGGTTTTAACATCTGTGTCGGACTTTTGGTAATTATTGTACCATCGATGACAAACAGTGGACCAATTTTATTGCCCACTACTATAGACATTGATAACAATCTCTCTGCCGGTGCTCTTCGCAGGCAATTCATTATTTGTGGCGTAAATCTGTAATCATTCTTAGACCCGCAACCGATCCGTATTGACTCATTTAACCAATAATTGCGGACAACTTCGGGTGTATCTACAGCTCTGTGTGTGAGCGCCGATCCGGACATCATTACAGCGTTTTGAAACAAACCTCGACTGACGGGTGATAGGATGTGAGCGCCGACGGAGACACTGCCGACTCCCACACCAAATATAGTCACTCTATCGGAATCGCCACCAAATCGGATAATATTTGTCTGAACCCATTGAAGGGCTAATATCTGGTCCCATAGAAGTGTATTCCCGGGCGCGTCATCTGTTCCCGAGTATAACAGTCCCAAAGATCCCAATCTATATATTATAAATACTGTGTAATTATTTATTGATTTATAAATGAATTAAATCCAAACCTATAATTAATGGTAACAACAATTACTTCTCCTCTGATGGACAAAACAATTGGATTGAAATCACTGTAGGAGTCCATAATAAAGCCGTGTATCCATACCATCACCGGTAGCAGTGATTTTCTAGTTAGAAATTTTGATCTTGGTGCAAATATATTGAGATACAGACAATCTTCGCTTTGATGGACAGTGTCTTGTATTGACATTAGGGTTAAGTTTGATTGATAGCAATCGTTGGGCCAATTCTTTGCGTTCAATGTATTGAACCACTTCTTCGCCGGCACTGGTCTTCGGAAGCGGAGGTCACCGACCGGTGGCTCCGCGTATGGAATACCCAAATATGTG